GTTATTGGAGTCTTCCCCAAATTCTAACCCGTCATGATCTTTTTGGATCCCAGCTCTCCCATTTGGCTTGCTTGTTTTCCCTCTCAGCTTTGTGACTTCTACAAAGTGGATAAGTAAGCCGTCTATGCCGTCGTCCAGATTATTTATAAAAATGGGGAGCGGCAACGGGCTAGGCTCAGATGCTTTGTGCGCTCCGCTGTGGGCCTTCCGCGTCGATCTGATGGTCACTGACTATGTTGTGGATCCAGCCGTTCAGCCCCTGCCAAAGCCACTCGCTTGTCTCTCTTCATCTTCTTCACAAGGATGAAGTGAAGAAATTTGTCAAATCTTTTGCCAAAACCTTCGTAAACTGCGTGTACGACAGCCCCCACGCTCTGCGAGTCTTTGAACCCTGTCCGAAAGAAAACAAGGTTGAAAGACTCCCGATGGAGAGAGAACTGGGAGTCCGAATGCGGGGGAAGTGCGCTGTCCGCTCTCCTTTTCCTTCGCTGTTTCATTCCATTGCTTTGCTCTCGGGGTCCTCCCTCAGCTCTAACCCTTCTTTACGTCGTGACTAGTGGAGAGCCCGTATCAGACTGCACGCCGTCTTGGGTGGGGGAGAAAACCTAAAACTCAGAATCTTATGGAAGTGAATGTTGAAAACTAAAAATTAATTATCTAAAATAAAACACATTTTGAAAAAAGAGAGCACGGTTGGTCTGCCGTGCTTCTAGGCCGAGCTTTGGGATCCCTTAGTGACCTCCTCTACCCCCCTTCCCGTCCAGCCATCCAGCAGGACAGCCTGGAAGCTTTCCGTCGATCCGAGCGAGGCGCCTTTGCTCATCATTTTAAGGATCTCATCTTCTTCCCTTTCTTGAGAGTTGGGGCGTTTGTGCTTCCTCTGCTGCTCGTTGTGTTCTCCTCCGCCTTCTGCGGTCTCTCAAAGGTTTCTGACGGTGAGTCAGCGGTCAATCTTCGCGTTCTTTCAGTGCCCGACACTGCAGTTCATCGAGGCCGGTGGGTCTGAAGTCCTCAGAGGTGACTATTTAGCAGCCCTCCTCCCTTAGCCTCTGTCCTAAGCCAGCCCTTTACTCACCCCCTAGTAGAGGTCCACATGGGTCTCTAAGGACCTTCCCATTTCTTTTTTTTTTTTTTTTCAGTCAGAGACAAAGCTTATTGTGTCACCAATAGAAGCAGGCTAGATTTTAAGAATTTGGTATGGACAAGACTGACCTTTTTTCTTTTCTTTTTTTTTTATTAATTTTTTTTGATTTACCAACAATCACTTCCATGTGCTTTTGAGTTTAAAATTTTTCTCCCCCTTCCTCTCCACCACCCTCCCCAAGACGGCGCACAATCTGATATAGGCTATACATACACATTCCTATTAAACATATTTTCACATTAGTGATGTTGTAAGGAAGAATTAGAACCAATAGGAGGAACCACCAGAAAGAGGAAACAAAATGTAACAGAAGAGAAAAAAAATAGCAATTCAACTTCCATAGTTCTTTCTTTGGGTGTGGATAACATTTTCCATCGGCCTCTGGAGATGTCTTAGATCCTTGTATTGCCGGGAAGGGTTAAGTCTATCAATGTTAGTCATCTCACAACATGGCTGTTACTGTGTACGATATTCTCTTGGTTCTGCTCACTTCACTCAGCATCAGTCCATACAAGTCTTTCCAGGTTTTTCTGAAGTCAGCCTGTTCATCATTTCATAAGAAAAAAAAAGCACAATAGTATTCCATCACATTCATATACCACGACTTGCTCAGCCATTCCCCAATTGATGGGCATCCTCTCAATTTCCAATTCTTTGTCACCACAAAAAGAGCTGCTGTGAATATTTGTGTACATGTGGTTCCTTTTCCATTTGTATGATCTCTTTGAATTGCTATTGCTGGGTCAAAGGGTGTGCACATTTTTATAGCCCTTTGGGCATAGTTCCAAATTGCTCTCCAAAATGGTTGGATCATTTCACAACTCCACCACCAATGCATTAGTGTTCCAGTTTTCCCACATCTTCTCCAACGTTTATCATTTTCCTATTTTGTCATGTTGGCCAATCTGATAGTTGCGATGTGGTACCTCAGAGTTGTTTTGATTTGCATTTCTCTGATCAGTAGTGATTTAGAGCATTTTTTCATATGACTATAGATGGCTTTAATTTCTTCATCTGAGAACTGCATGTTCATGTCCTTTGACCATTTATCAATTGGAGGATGACTTGTATTCTTATAGATTTGACTTAATTCTCTATATATTTTAGAAATGAGGCCCTTATCAGAGAGACTGGTTGTAAACATTCTTTCCCAATTTTCTACCTTCCTTCTAATCTTAGTTGCATTGGCTTTGTTTGTGGAAAAACTTTTCAATTTAACGTAATCAAAATTATCTGTTTTGCTTTTTGTAATGTTCTCTATCTCCTGTTTGGTCATGAATTCTTCTGTTCTCCATAGATCTGATAGGTAAACTATTCCTTGCTCACAGTTTGCTAACAGTATCAGCATTTATATCTAAATCGTGGACTCATTTTGACTTCATTTTCGTATATTGTGTGAGATTTTAGGACCCTCCCATTTCTAAAGCTGCCGTCTTGTTTAAGTCCTTCCACTCTGTGTAGAAGGAGGGGGTAGGACTAAGTGACCTCTGAACTCTCTTGCATTTCTAAAGCTTTATGACCTTAGGCAAGTCATTTCTGTTTTTGGATTTCCATTTCTTCTTCTTGACAAGTAAGATCTCTGATCACCTTCCAGGTCCAAAACATCAGATCTCGGTTCTGAGACTGATTTGTTGTATAACAGGAGTAAATCTCCCTGCCTCTGTCTCTGAGCCTCAGTTTCTCCATCTCTAAAATGGGGGATATGGATGACGTCATCTCCGAGGTCCCTTCCAGCTCTGCCGTGACTCTGCTGTTCAAGCCTAGCTTCTCGATCTCTCTAGGCCCTAGTTTCGGGGCTTGGACATGGACGGCTTCGAGGTCCCCATCAGCCCGTGGTCCTGGATCACGAGATGATGCCCCACTCTGCCTCCCCGAGCACAGAATGGAATGGAAAGCGTGCTTACTGAACACGCCAGCCAAAAAGCGTGTTCAGGCCTCAGCTCCGGCCTCGGGCCGAGCTCAGCCTCCGCTCGGCCCTTCAGGGTCCTCATCCGTAACGTGGAGGTGATGCTCCTGGCCGGTTGGTCCTTTACGCGGTTGTTTGGAAGAAAGAGCTTTGCCACCCTTGATACGCTCTAGAAATAGCAGCTTTGTTGGCCTCTCCCCAGATCCCTCCCGCCGGAGCGACATGCAGGCCCTCGGCTATTGTCTTCTGAAGTGGCTGTACGGGGCCCTGCCATGGACCGGTCAGCTTCCTGATGCCCAGGCGGTCATGAGGCAGAAGGAGAGGTAAGCTCCAGACACGAGTCCTCTGTTGATGGAGAAGGTGTTCAGGGCCCAAGGCGACGGATGGGTCTGGAAACAAGGTGAGTCTGACTTGAGGGAAAGCCATAGATGGGACGGCACCTCGAAGAGGCAGACAGCTTCAGAGAAGAACATCAAATCGTTCAGCCTAAGAAGGACTGACCCAAAACATGCAGAGACAGAGTTGGCTGCGATCTTAGGACGCAGAACACAGAATGTCGGTGCTGGAGGCACAAAGCTCAGAGCCACAAGGTGCCATAAGAAGTTGTATCAGCAACTTTAAGGTGGGATTCAATCGGTAGATGCAGATAATGATAAAATTCAGTATCCACGTGTGTGTGTATGTGTGTGTGTGTGCGTGCGTGTGTGCGTGTGTGTGTGTGTGTGTATTTTAAACCACTGAAAAGCAAAGTAATGAAGGGTTGTTCCGCAGCGTTTAGACAAAAGCATTTTGAGATCAAGAATTTTATGAAATAGAAACATTAGAGCAGGGCTTCTTAACTGGTAGTTTTCTTTAATGTATTGTGATAGCTGAATTTCAGTATAATTGGTTTCCCTTGTAATCCTTTGCCTTTTATACACTTAAACACTTTATTTATAAATCTAAACACCTCCGATGAGTATGTATCTCCATGTTTGATGCCTCACTTCAGGTTGATAATCAGAAGGTTATTGAACAGTCTCTGTCGTCATTATGACTTTTAAGAAATCTTGAACAACTTCAGAATATGCGTGAGTCATCTTGTTGGGGAAATGACAAACGCCTCTTGGCCACGCTAGGATAGAGTGGGATGGACAGCCGGTAAAGCTGGCCCTTTTGGTATTTATATGTCATGGACAGTGAACTGGGCCCAGAACTGGAGAGGAGGAGAACAGGGGGAATGAAAAAGAATTTACGAAGTGCCAATCATTATGTGCCCAGCCCGGTGCTAGGTGCTGAGATACAGAGAGAGAAAGGAAGATGGTTCCTACTCTGAGGTGTTCCCTGAAATGGGGCAGACAACCTCTAAAAGAGCTCATGAAGTTGCAGGGCAGATGAAAAAGCCCAGAAGTCCCCCCAGATCAGTACCAGGGCTGATGACAAGGCCCAGGGTGTAGGAGTAGTTTAGATGCCAGTGCCTGGGGGTCTGAAGGTGTGAAAGCAAGGTGAATGACAGGGCCTAGCCGACCTTAGGATACATTAGGCAGGCCATATGGTAAGGCCCCTCAATAGAAAGATTAGAATTGTTGACTCCCATTTCATTGTTTTTGGGAAACTGCGTAGTGTTTTTGATGACCCCAAGTTTCTCCCTGAAACAAAGGCCCATCTTGTTAACATCAACATTCTTCTGATGATTCTGTATGCTTGCCAAATCATCGAATACCATGGTCTCTGAAACATTATTTACAGATGACCCAAAGGGCAATAGGGAGGCACTTGATGGGCACAGGTAGGCTGCGGTATGCTTCTAACAGTAACTATATGGGAAAAACAGCTTACGGGATATCGGAGATCTGTATACCTGGAAAAGGAAGGAGCTGTGTCATGTATCAACAGCCAGGGACCCCCAAGGGACAGCCCGTGTGCTCCTTAGTTAACTGTACGATGTCAGGAAATGTACAAGAGGCTTACAGCACATGGTGTGGATGGCCTGGAGCACAGGAGGATACAGCCAAGGGTCATGTGGAGGAGAAGGCATGGATGGATGGATGTGGGTGGGTGGATGGATGCATGCATGCACGGACAGATGGGAACATGGGTCCCCGGCCGCACTGTCAGAGGGAGTATCGTCATCGGCGAGATCACAGATCCACTTGACTTGGAGAGCGAACATTTATAAAGAGAAAGCTAAAACTAAGACTGTCTCTACTTGCAGACAGAATGATGGTTTATTTAGAAAACCCAAGTGAATCAACAGATTCAATAGTCTCAGCATAATCACAGGCTCTTGGATAAACCCGGAAAAATCATTTCTGTATGCCATCCACAAAAGCAAGAAATTGTTAGGAGAAAAGTCCTACAAAATAATGACAACATGTATTCATTAGTATCCATATAGATACAGGCCTTACAGAGAGACAATTGTAAAAATCATAGCACCTCCCTCCCAGGGTTGTTGAGAAGACCGACATAAGAAATAGTGTTTGCAGAGCACATTGTGAAGCTTAAAGTGCTGTCTAAGTGCTGGCTATCAGAAAACAATTTTATAGGAAAAAAGGCCAAATTTATGACGATCTCTTCAGAGTACATAGTTAAATCAAGCTGATATACAGATGGCGATGCTACCCTTCTTGACGTAATTGCATATTTAATCAAAATATGAATGGCATACTTTATAGAACTGGATAAAATAATGCAAAAATTCACAGGAAGAACAGGGAGATGGTAGACCACTTATGGATGAGCCTCTGGTTCTTGAAGGCTTAGAGGGCACTTTATCTTTATCTGAGGCCCTGTGAAACAAGATCGGAGAACATCAGAGTTGGGAAGGGACATTGAATGTCAGTGGTAGAGGACCAGAGTGGAAAGAGTCATCCCTGACAAATTATTTTGCTGTCTTTTGGGTCTGACAGGTTCCTCCACAATGCGGCTGAGCTCATGAGGCAGTCTTGTGGCCAAAGAAAGCCCCCAGGTGGGTTCTGAAGGGAGAAGGCCAGGGTGGGCCGGGGCCAAGACTCCCTCCCTGTAGGGGATACACTATGAACCTGCGTAGGGCACAGTCCCTCCGGCTCCCCTTCCCCAGCATGGGAGATGAGTCTTCCTTGGAGCTCTGCTTGGCTCCTGAGGCCAGGTTCTTCTGAGAAGGCCCTGCTCCCTGCCTCATTTCCAGCAGTGAGACGTCTGCTGACTTGCCGAGTGGCCTTGGGGAGGTCCTTTCCTCTCTGCAGTCCTCCGTTTCCGGGATGAAGCAGGTTAACCTGGAGGCCCCTTGTAACTTCTGGCGAGGGCTCTCTTTCTCTGGGCCTTAGCTCAGGCTTAGGCTTCAGTCACTTGTGCGTCTCCTTTCCAGCCCCACCATTTGGGGATTCTTGGTGCGTGGTGACCTGGTTGGCCTCAGCCCCTCTTCAGGAGGAGCAGGGTGGGTGGACTGATCATCTCTGGCAGAGTCGTGTGGCCTTGGCCAGTCTCCCCTATCTGGTCCTGGGATTTGCGATCAGAAGAGGAGGGGACTGGACCATGCGCTCTCCGAGCTGGCAGCGGGACTTTGAGGATGTCTCTTCCCCTCTGCGGAACTCAGATTCCGTATGTGCAAAACTCGGAGAGGCGACCCAGATACCCTGGGAGGTCATCCAAATCTCTCAGTCCAGCTGAGAGTCCTCAGAAAATTTCCGGTCAGTGGGTGTGGAGCTGAGGGCAAGTCCTTTTCCCTCCCTGGGCCTGAGAACTTCTTATGAGGAGTCGGGGCTATGGAAGTCCTTCTCTGTTGACAGAAGCTCTAGAGGCCTACCTGAACAGAGCGATGGCTCTCCAGTATGAAGAGAAGCCCAACTACAGAATGCTGCAGACGGTCTTGATGTCGGCTCTCGAAAACCACCGCATTAAACCGTACGACTCCATCAGCTTCTAGACTGTCCCATGGGTAAGGCAGAAGCACTTGGGTTGGCAGGGGCACCCAGGGAGCACATGTGCCCTCAGCCGGTCTTAGAATAAGCCTTGTTTATTTAGCACTGGGGCCAGAAGTCATCGAGCAAACATCCATCCGGCCTGGCGAGGAGTGACAGCCAGGAAGTAATAGCCCCTTTTCTTGTCTTCCAGATTTATCCACTTCCCTGTGTGATTATGCCGCCGGTCTGAATGGCCGTTTGACGCTGTCCTGGACACGTAGCCAGAGTGGAGTGGCCTGCACCTCCTGCGCAGCTGATCTCTTTAAGAGACAAATAGAAATTCTCTCAGAAAGCTTGTGTCTTAAGTCTTAGATAATGTGAAAACCCAGTTACCTCCCGTCAGACCGCGTGGCCAAACCCGGCCCCGAAGTCGCACCAGAATTTCCCCCACAAGCAGTTACGCAGATTCGTGCAGAAGACCGGGAATCGTTAGGCGCTCACCAGCCACCAAGGACCCCTGAGCTTATCGTGGCGTAGCCAATCAGGAGGAATCGCGTCCTGTTCAGACAAAACCAGGAAAGGACTTTGGAGATGGAGTCCCAGAGATGGGCAGGAACGTGCTCACAGCCACCGCGGCAAACCGCTTACCGTGCTTGCTGCACTGTGATAGTAGGATGGCTCCCCGGGGCCGAGTGACCCCAAGATTTCTGTGAAGTTTTTAAAGCTCTTTGGTCAGTACTTTATATTTTTTCTTAGAGTATTTTCTTAGAAGATATTCGAGCTGAGAGGGAGCTCGCTCAGCCGTTTCAGTCACGTCCGACTCTGTATGACCCCATTCTGGGTTTTCTCGGCAAAGATACTGGAGTGATTTGCTATTTCCTTCTCCAGTGGATTAAGGCAAACAGAGGTGAAGTGACTTGCCCAGGGTCACACAACTGGTGTCTGAAGCCAGATTTGAACTCAGGTCTTCTTGACTCCAAGCCCAGGGCTCTATCCGCTAGAGATCCTTAATTCCACACTCATCTTATTCATTTGAAATTGTTTTGTTTTTGATTTCATTCATTTCCCTGATGATTTTTTCCTTTGTACTTATTTTGGATGGTTTTCTTTTGTGTTTGATTTGCTGATTTTAAGATTGTTTTAAAAACTATGTTTAATGTCTCTCTTTGGTTAACATAAGCATGTTGCTTGATTTATTAAATATGTTGTACAATATGGATTGGTGTTTTCTGATGAGTGATGTGTTTCTTTTGGCATGAACCCAAGGTCATCTGATTGCCCTCTGGACACTGTCCAGCTTAACAGTATACTTACACTGTGGTGCCCACACTGACCCCAGTATACCAGATGTGGTCTTACCTGGGTAGAGGACAGTGCTCCAGGTACTGCTGCTGAGTGCTTACACCAACATCAAAGCAGCAGCTTTTTGGTGGTCATATGACACTGTCGAGCCATGGTGATCTTGTAGCCCGCTAAGACCCCCAGATCTTTTTCAGACGAAGTACAATGGAAGGACCCCACAAAGACTTGAAAACAGCCGGGATTTCTCTCCCACCATCCCTGGGTCTTCCCCAAATGAAGCATCCCCAGGTCCTTCTCTTAGTGCCTTAAAGGCTTGGTGTCCAGCACCTTCATTCTCCTTCAGACACTACAGTACGTTCATCCTGAAGTATGGTACCACAACTGGGCGATGCCCAAGAGGGAGTTTGGCCAAGCCTTTTGAGGGTGAGGTCATGTGGTGGCTAACCACTGATAGCTTGTATTTCTAGACCTTTAAGGTTTATGCAGCATTTCCCCAAAGCCCTGTTAGGCAGGGAGTGTGAGGGTTACTATACCCATTTTACAGATGGGTAAATTAAAGCTCAGAGGTCTCACGGCGAGTCTGTGTCAGCATCAGGATTGACAACAACACACGTAAAGGCTTGGAAAGCAAAGTGCCTTCCTCACAGCTCTGAGGTGGACGGGGAATGTAGGATGGGGAGAATGACTGAGAGTGTGATCTGTAAGATGGGGCTACTGAGGCCCTGAGCTCGCTGAGTGCTGAGGTGGGATGTGCACCCTGGGCTTGGAGAACCATAGTGGGACCCCCACATTTTTACAGATGGACACCTGGGTGTGTGATGGAGCCAAGATCATAGACCTATAACCCATGATGATGATGGGGTTCCATGGGGACGCACACGTAGCATCTCCCCACATTAGAATGTAAGCAGTCCTTCATCTTTGTTCATTCAGGTTTACCTTTTTTATGTTTCTCTTCACTCCTGTGTTTGCACTTTAGAGTTTCTATGTAGCTGTGGTCTTTTCATCAGAAATGCTGGGAAGCCTTCTATTTTACTAAAGGTCCATTTTTCCCTCTGCAGCAATATAGTCGGTTCTAATGGATGAGTTCTTCTTGATGGTAAACCTATATTCTTTGTCTTCTGGAATATCTTATTCCAAGCTCTCCGCTCTCTTAAAGTAGTAGCTATTCAATCATGTGTAATTCTGACTATGGCTCTTTGGTCATTGAATTCCTTCTTTCTGCTGCTTGCAATGTATTTTCTTTGACCTGGAAGCTCTGGATTTTGGCTATGATGTTTGGGGTTTCTTATAGGAGGTAACCAATGGGTTCTTTTCATTTCCAATATACCCTCTGGTTCGAAGAGATCTGGGAAGTTTTCTTTTCTTTCATGATTTCTTGAAATAGGATGTCTAGGCTTTTATTTTTGGTCATGGCTTCATTCATTCTTAAATTCATCTTAAATCATCCTTAATTTTTTTCCTCAATCTGTTTTCCAGGTGAGTTTTTGCTACATGGTACATTACATTTCCTTCTATTTTTTTCAGCCTTTTGACTTCGTTATAGTATTTCTTCATATTTTGTGAAGTCATTGGCCAAGGTTTTGTACCTCTCTATGCCAAGTTATTAATTCCCTTTCCAATTCTTCCTTTCTCTCATTTCTTTTCTATTTTTCCCCTTCACACTCTCGTAACATTTATAAAAACTTGGGGTCTGAGCCACACAACTGCTGCCTGCTTCTGAACTTGCTCTTGGCTCCGTACCAGCCTGGACACTTGAGCCCCAGGAATGCTCCCTCAGGAGCAGGCCAGCTCAGGACGTGTCAGCTGACCCCGAGCAGCGAACACCAAGGCTGCAGTTGTGTCCTGCCCGAGGTTAGGCCCCTTTAAGCTGGGTCAGGGACCTCTTCTTGCCCTGGAGCACAGCCTTTCCCTGCCTGGTAGTGCTGCACATGCACATTCCTGGCCAGACCCTGTCCCCGGCGTCCCAAGACGTCTCGGTCTGTCTCCTCTGTTGACCTGAGCTGGTAAAGTGGTTCTCTGGGGCTCTTTCCATCGGGCTTTGACTCGGAGTGTTTTCTAGATCTATTTGGAGGAGTTGGGGGCGGAGAGGAGTTCACTGTGCAGTTTCCTTCTATTCCTCCATCTTGGCTCCTGAGCTTACACACCAGCCCGTGAGACGCGACATGGATCATAGATGGCTGGGACCTTAAAGGGACCAGTCCAGCCTCCCTATTTTACAGCCGAGGAAACTGAGGCTTGCTGACAGAGGTTACTGACTTACCCGAAACCGCACAGGTAGTAAGAGCCAAGACACATGATTTAAATCTAGGTCTCTAAATACAAAATATAACCCTATCAAGCCCTAATTCCAAGGTACTTAGCAAGTGCTTTTTTGAAGATTGTGTGTGTGTGTGCGCACGCATGTGTACATGCACAATTCAAACATGTAAGAACAAAGTGGTCAAATGATAGAAACTGGAAGTTTTCCAGAGAAGAAATGCAAGTTAGCAATAACCGTATATGAAGTCTGGTTCATAACAATAACAGTCAGAGAAACGCACATTAAGATCAGTAGCATTTCACCTCTTCAGACTGGCAAAAACAATAAAAGACAAAAAGGGTAAATGGAGGCGCTGGAGCTAGAAAGCCATCCAGTTTGCCCTCCTCCCGTTTTACAGGTGAGGAGTCCGAAAGCCTTGCCCCATATCACATGGGTACTGGGCCTCAGAGGTGGAATCTGGGCAGAGATCTTCTCTTTCCACCGTGAACACAGGCCTCTCTCTTCTGTGCCAAACACTTTGGAATCACATGTAGCAAGGCCCATCCATAGACAGGGCTGTCCCTCACTTGCGGCGCTGGAAGAGAGACATGTAAGAACATCTATCTCCAGTCTCTCCTCCCCTACCTCTCTCTAAAGGAGCTTGGGGCCAGAGGCCACCATTCTACCTTCCTCAGAGAGGGGCTACTGAGCTAGAAGCATATCCAACTGCTCCCTTAAATAGTATTGTTCTGGGAGACAGGGGTCTTAGGCTCGAGCGAGCTAACTCCTGATCGCTGTTCATTACTGGGGAAGAGGAGGACCCCAGGCTTTGTGTCTGTGATTTGTCTCCTTTGCTGTTAAATACCCACACACGTAGCAAACAGCAAAGTGAACCCAGAAGTCAGAGAAAGTACCCTAGAAGAAGAAACGCTAGGCAGCGGTGAAAGAGCTCTCCCCTCGGAAGCAGGAACTCAGCTCGACCAAGAAAGAGAAGCCTCGGTCCTACCTGGAGCCTTTGGTAGAACAGGCTGGGGATAGGGACGGGACGGAGACTCCCGGCTCCATCACAGATGGAGTGACCGCCGAGGCCCCGCCTCTGGGTGCCCGGTTCTGCCTGTCCCCAGACTACCTCTCGAGGGTCTCCTCTGTCCCACCCCTTCCGCGCCTCTGCCATGGAGATGCAAGAGCTGCCCTGGGGCCAGGAGAGCGGGCTGTGACTCCCACTCCCCGTGTCACCTTAGCCCAAGCTGCCTGAGCCCATTTCCCCTGAGGACGCTGGGCTGGAAGGTTTCCGAGTCACCACCTGGCCGGCCACCAAGACCAGGGCCAGCCTTCCCGAAGGCAGCGTTGTAGGGGACGTGAAAACAAAAGAGCCCAGTGAATTTATGTTTAAAACGTTAACCAGAAGCAGCGAAGTCTTTCACTGAGCAGTGAGAAGGAGCTAACTACAGGCTGGCCTGGGCATCACACCTGAGAAATCCATTACTGCTTTAGTCTGTTGCTGGGCATTGTCTATGCAAAGTGAGTCATCAATCCTGGGCCCCCCGCCATCACCATCCCAGAAAGCTGCCTGAGATCCTGTTAGCTCGCTCCGCGGCCGGGTCCCACTGTGGACTCGCCCCGATGGTCTTACAATGCGCTAACCCACCGATCGGAGTGTTTTAGGTTGGGGTCCCCAGATCCAGGAGGCAACGAAATCAGTGCTGTCCGAATCTGAGGTGAACAAAACTTCCATGGCAGTATGGCATGGCCAAGCAGCCAGGCATTCCCCGCAAGAAGGGGTACAAAATCCATCGCTTAAGACAGATTGAAGCAGAAAAGGAGGCGGGGGCAGCTAGGTGGCACAGTGAATAGAGCTCTGGCCTTGGAGTCAGGAGGACCTGAGTTCAAATCTAGCCTCGGACACTTACTAGCTGTGTCACCCTGGGCAAATCACTTAACCCCACTGCCTCAGTTAAAAAAGAAGAAGAAAAAGAAAAGGAGACCTGAGGGACGGCTCTAGGCCTGCACTGGTACCCAGTGGGTTGTGTATGGACAAAAGCTCTGTCCCATCCCACAAACCCTGGGGCTACTCCCAGGTGAATCCACTCAACTGGGATCCCAAGACAATTAAATGAGACAGCAAACGGAAGTGATTGTGTCTCAGCAGAACCAGTAACCGACCTTTGAGCCGTGCTCTTTCCTTCCTTAAATGAAAAGTCGGGAGTGGGTTTTCTACCTTCTCTTTGATCTGAAATTAACCCCATTTCCATAGTCTAACTCAGTGTGCATCACTACTTGGTTCCCTGGCCTGGAAGGAATGCTTCCTTACTCATCTCTGCCTCACCCTGCCCTTCTCTTCTTTTAAGATGAAGCCTTTCTTGGCCTCCCTCCCCCCTTTGCTAGTCCCCCCCCCCCTTCCCTCCCAAACCACCTTGTCTTTGCGTAGATCGTGTTTATTAGTCATAGGCTGGAAGACCTGAGTTCAAGTCCACTAGCCGAGTGACCACCTCTGCCTGCCTCAGTTTCCTCATCTGTAGAATGGGGATCATACCAGCTCTTACCTCTCAGGGCTGTTGTGAAGATGTAATGAGATGCTATTTGGAAAGCGCCTCCTTCTGTTCCGTCCATGTTCACTTGTACTTGTCGCCGTCCTCATTAGAATGTAAGATTCTTTGCAAGGAGGGATGTCAGTCCTTGTATTTGTAGGCCCAGCACCCAGCGTATTGCCTGACACATAGTAGGTGCTTTAAAATGCGCCCTGATTAGTTGAACGCATCGTTTTGTCCCCTTGTTCCTTCGATCCCTCCCATCTGTCATCCCTTCTGGCAAAGTAGGGCCCAGTGACACTCTCATGCTATAGCTTCTTCATGCACTCCTCTCATGATGAACCCTTCATTGGATTCCATGTGCTCTCTTTTTGCTATTACAGATAGTGCCAGGCAAAGGGTGCCTTATGACAGTGGTGATTCACATCTATGTAGTACGCGTGGCCTCTGGGCTGCTCCCCAGACCTGCAGTTGCCCAGACAGGCGAGTCCTCAGAGCGGTGACTGCTATTTCAGGTTCCAAGGGGTTACCCTGGGATGACTACTGCTAATATTGTAGGGGGCTCACAAGCCCCCACTGGGGAACTTCCCATTAACGATATGCCAGTAAACACAACTAGCTCTTAGAAAAGGCATTCATTCAAATAGAATAGCAAAAACAATAATTATAAAATATTCCCTAAAAACTCAGGGTGCACGCTCCCACAAAAATACGCTTTAGCCTAGAGGAGAGTGAGCACACACTTAAAGTATAGAGTGAGAATAAAACCAAGCGTCAGGAGCACCGGGTCATGGCACTCAGGACTCTAACTCCTCCTTTAATTTGGTGCCTTCCCACTGTTCCTCACATGAGACAAGGTAGAATCCCAACTCTCTGCATTTTCATCGGCTGTCCCCGGTGCCTGGAGTCCGGATGAGTCTTGTGTGAGGAGGAGGAAGGACGCCACGTCACTGGGCCAAAGAGCGGGTGGAAGCTATTCCCATCGTCAAAGCTTTAGGTCGCTGGGGTCTTGTGGGCTGCCACCTCACTCCGCCAACTCATACTGAATTTGCAGAGCACTAAACAAGCCTCCTGGACCCTCTTCAGAGCCCCTGCCATCTCTGCTTCTCCCCATCTTGGCTTTGTGATGTTGATTTGGTCCCCAAGTGCCACATTTTACATTGATCCCTATTGAATTTCATCTTAATAGATTCAGCCCCATGCTACAGTCTGTTAAGGTCCTTTTGGCTCCTCAATGTGGCCGGGTGTTTCAGCCGTCTCTCTCTGGTTGGTGACATCTGCAAAATTGGTGAGCGCATCCTTTACACCTTCATCCGTAAAACACGGGTAGAAACACTAAAACGCTAAAAACGCATAGACTCCTCCAGTGCAGACCTGCCAACAATCATCAAAGCATTAACTACTCAAGTCCAACCATCTAACTGAGTTTGAATGCATCTGATTACATTATTGTCTATGTTTTATCAAAAGCTTTGCTAAAATCCAGGAAAACTCCATCTACAGCGTTCCCTTTATCTACTAGGCTAGTGATGCTATTACAGAAGGAAACCGTGTTCATCTCCAAAGGCCTGTTCTTATGAAACCAGGCTGATGCTCTGGAATCACTGCTTCCCATTTTTGTTTTCAAAATATGAACAATTTTATCTGTGTTTCTAATGGAAACAAATAGGGCTCATATCCAAGGCCAGAGAAAGTAGCAGTGCCCACCCGGGACTTCTGCTACTGCTCTGGGTAGCACTCCAGCAACGGCGGGTCAAGGTTTGTTCCTCTGTATTGGTCTATCTGCCTCCCCCGCTTCCCTTTCTTGATGTTTGCCAACTGTGTAATAATCTGTTTTAGAATTTTCCCAGGAATTCCAGTCAAACTCAAGCACACTGGAAGACTATTCTCTTCCCTTTTTTGAAAATTCGCTCACTCAGCCTTCTCCAATCTTGCAGTAAGTACCTCTCCCAGTTTCCATTGATCTTTGAATTAACACCTACAATGGTTCAGCCAACAAATTTTCCAGTTCTTTCTTTCGGGACCCAAGGATGAACTTCAGCAGGATCAGGTGGTTTGAATTCAAGGAAAGCTTTCAAGGTGTTCTCTTGCCGTCTCCTTACTTATCTCAGCTATCAACTCCCCATGAGTCATTTTTGTTTTATTATTTCCGGTGTAAATGTCTATTGCTAGAATAAATGTTTATTGATCAATTGATTGCCAAGGTAATTCTCCTTGGCAGAAAAAAGAGAAACAAGAGAATGAAGCTCTACTTTCTCTAAGACCTCCTCATCTCACCCTCCCCAAGTAAAGGTCTCATCCACCCATTCTCCGATCCTTTTTCTTCCAATATGGCTTTTAAAGTCCTTTTTGATGTCCTTGGTTTCCCTCACCAGGTTGAGCTCATTCTAATCTTTCACATTCCAGGGTCTTATATCCATCCTGTCACCTGGTCTCGCTCCCATCTTCTGTGAATTCCTTCTCATCATCTATATTGGATGGTGAGCTCCTTATGCAACTACACCAGCATCTTCCGACAAAACCCATTTTTCCTCCTCCCTGGAATCGTTTCCTTTTTCATCTGTAGGATGTAATTCTTGAGCATCTCCTCTGTCTCCCGTGCAGAATCCCCTTGAAGCATTTTACGCACTGGGGTCTTATCTTTCCTCTGTGACCTTTGAAGACTGTGGTTGCCCACAATATAAAAGCTAAACTTTTGATCCTGGAATTCAAGGCCCTCCACCCTCTGGTTCCACCCAAGTTTTCTCGTCCTAGCTTGGCCCCCTCCTCTTGGCACATTCTACGTTCTGGCCAAAGCGGCCTAACCTCTGAGCTTTATTTCTCCTCTCTGTCTCTCCTCTGTTCATCTCACCTTCCATGGCTAGAAAGCTCTTCATCTGGTAAAGCCCTTCTCTTCTGAGCCTTGCTCAGGGGCCACCTCCTCCCCAAAGCCTTCCTTGATTCCTCACCCCCCATCACAGAGTGAGAGCTGCCTCCTCTGATGTTCCATAGGCCTTCGACCGGACCTCACACTTGCATTTACCTCACTCTCACATTTCATTAATAGCAGGAAGGGACCTGACAAAACTCCTAATCCTATGATAAAAGATCTTAGAGCTTGGAGTCCAACCACAAAAATTTTTTTCAATTTTTATTTTTTCCAGTTTAAAGCATTTATTTTCTCTCTCCCACTCCCAAATGAACGACAAAGAAAATCAAAATCCTTGCAACAAATATGCATAGTCAAGCAAAGCAAATTCCTATTGTCCATGTCCAAAACGTACGTGTCATTTAGAGTCCATCACCTCTCTATTAAGAGGCGGGAAACATGCTTCATTATTGGTCCTCGGCACTCCTGCTCTGTCACCACCTCAGAATTCTTCAGTCTTACGTTGTCTCTCTTCATAATGCTGGAATCCTACAAATTGCTCACTTCACTGGACAGTACATTAGTCCAGAAAGATCTTCACAGTTTCCTATAAATTTGTCCATTTAATCATTTTATGTGGCAAAATAATATTGCATTATATTCACATATGATCATTTATTTGGCCATTCCCCACAGGTGGGCACCACCTTATAGTTTCCAGGGTTTGGGGTTTGTTTTTTTGCTACTACAGGAAAAGCTACCACATTTTCTTGCGTGTGTGTATGGATATATGCATACATATAAACATACTATATGTATATATGTGTATATATATATATATACACATACATATGTGGGTCTTTTTCCTTTCTTTGATCTTGGGGGGCTGGGGGCTAGCATTGCTGACAAAGAATACACAGAGTTTGATGACTCTTAGGTAGGCAAAGGTCCAAGCGGCTTTCTAGAATGGCCAGACTGTGAGTGATCACAGCTCCATCAACACTGCATTGGGGTGCCTGTTTTTCCACAGCCTCTCCAACATTGGTCATTCTCCTCTTTTGTCACCTTTGATGGGTATGAGGTAGAGACCAAATTGCTTTAATTTGTTATTTAAACATTAGTGATTGGAAGCATTTTTATTTGTTGATAGCTTAGACTTCTTTTTTTTTGAGAACTCCCTGTTCAAATACTTTAATATAAATTTTAATAAGTTCCTCATATTTCTTGGAAATGAGACCTTTATCAGAGGGAACTGCCGCAGAGATTTCCCCCCAGTTCCCTGCTTCCTGTCTGATTTTAACTTACACAAGCTTTCTTTGTACAAAGGCATCTCTATATTGTCAAGATTGTCCATTTTGGGTTGTGAACATCTTCCCCTATCTATAGGATATCTATAGGATGAGTGCCTAATTTGACCATTGCCATTTTTTATGTCTAGGTTGTGTATTTATTTGCAACTTCTCTCACTCTGTGGTGGGAGATGTTGATCTAGGCCTGTTCTCTGCCAGACTGCTTACCAAGTTTTCAAGCCGTTTTTGTGGCACAGTGAGCACTTAACCCAGTAGCTGGGACCAAGGCCTTACTTTTTACAGAAGAGACCCCGAGGGCCAGAGAAGTGAAGTAAGTACACAGCAGACTGAGATTCTAGGTGGGGTCGTCCAGCTTCAAAGCCAGGACTCCTTCCTTCCACCTGGACCCACTGTTGTCCTGCCCAGCACCCTCATTTTGTAGAGGAGACTGAGGGAGGACCAGAGAAATGCATGATGTGGTTGAGGGATGACCCAGGAAGGAGGCTGCTGAGCTGGGTCCTCTAACCCAAAATACAACACTCTTTATGGTAAAGCACATGGCCTCTTTTCCGCGCCCCTTTCTCCCCTCCACCCTTAGACTATAATCTTGTTCAGAGGAAGGCCTGTGGTACATTTCTCTTTGTCTTCATGACATGACAGAACTCAACAGTCAGCAGGTTTTTAGGAAGGACTGCTGAATGAATGAATGAATGAATGGATGGATGGATGGATGAGGCAGAGAGCCTTGGCGCTCTTGGGCATCACTCTGGGCGAGCAGAGCACACTGCTCCCCGGTGGACTTTCTGATGCACCTGCAGGTTGGAGCTCTGCTTGAAGCCTTTCCCACAGACGAGACACTTGTAGGGCTTTTCGCCCGTGTGGACGCGCTGATGGACGTGCAGGTGGGACGTCTGGCTGAAGCCTTTGCCGCACTCTGTACATGTGTAGGGCTTCTCCTTCATGTGGGTCCGCCGGTGGATGCGCAGCGTGGTCTGGTGGCTGAAGCCTTTCCCACAGTCAGCACAGGTGTAGGGCTTCTCCCCGGTGTGCACTCTCTGGTGGATGTTCAGGTTGGACCTCTGGCTAAAGTCTTTCCCGCAGTCGGGACATTTAAACGGTTTTTCTCCCGTGTGCGTTCTCTGGTGGCGGACGAGTGGGGATTTGCAGTGGAAGCTTTTCCCACAGTCCCTGCATCTGTACTGTTTGGGTCCCTTGGTCAGAGCGGGGAGGTCTTTCCAGGGGCTCTTCTCTTCCAAGCAGCGAGGAGCCCCTCCCTCATTGGGGAGAGGTCTCTGCTGGGCTTTCCCTTTGCCCCCTTTGGTGGGGGGGAGCTGGCGCTGTACAGATGGGATGGTGGCAGCCACAAGATCTTTCTGAGGGGCAGGGGGGACACAAGGGCTTGCTGGCCCCTCTCCAGAAGCCCTTCTCCTCGCATCTTGCCTTGGTGACTTTGTCTGGTCCTGAGGGGAGGGGGCAGCTTGCAGGGCTCTAGGTTGGGGCCCTTTCTCTTGAGGATTCCCCTTACAGAGTCTCTTCCCACAGCCTGGAGGGAGAGAGGGCTCAAGTAATAAGGAAGTGGGAGCTTCCCACCCACGCCGGTAGGGAGGCTCCCATGAAGGCAAAGCCACGAGGGCCATTCAGCATCCCCAAAGCTCTCCAAAACTCCTGGCTCGTGTTTTCAGAGGCCCGGAAAGGGACTTTTCCAGTCATAAAACAACCTTAAAGAGTGACCTTTAGGAAGTCGTACAGTAGATGAGAGAGCTGGACTTGGACCCAGAAGACCTGGGTTCAAATCCTGCGTTTGATGTTAACTAGCTCTGTGAGCCTAGGCCAGTGACTTAATTGCTCTGAGCCTCAGTTTCCTCATCAGTAAAACTGGGATAACAATACCTCATGGCTTATCTTGAGGCTCAAATGAGAAGACCTATCCCAAGTGCTTTGCAAACCTTACTATGGAGGCCAAGCACTCCGTGTTGCCAAAAACAGAGGCTCAGAGAAATGAGAATGGGTCAGGGCCAGCCTTGGAGGGCTGAGAGACCCGGTGTCATTTTGTTGTGGGTCGGTCCCCTCCCAGGAGTGCCCTGCAGGATCTGAGCCCAGGGCAGACCCTGCCCCAGCCCTGCCCCTCATCCCCAGGGAATGAAGAGAATGACCCTTTGGGATGTAGTTCCTGAGGAAGAAGGGACGTGGAGCTCACGGCTGGGAGGCGTCCAGGACCCTGACTCCATTGGGGGTGCGGGGATTTCAAGAGGACTCATATCCATGGCAACACAGAGGCAGGATCTGTTCATTGGCTGAGAGCCCCCACCCATCCCATCAGCACAGCTGTCTGGCAATGCCAGTGCCACCATGGCAGCTGAGCCCGAGAAAGCCCAGACAGGCAGGAGGGGGGACCTGGAGGTCTGCACAGGGCACCCTGGAGCAGTGAGGGG